GAGTGACTTCTCGTTCCGGTATTTTCATCAGAGTGAGGATTTATTATTGGAAATTAGCACAGGAAGATCCTGAAATCCTTGGGTAGCGACCAGAGAAGTGTTTGACTTGGTATTCTGGGTCTTTTTCCTGGTTAAGATAACTCTTCGTCGAGAATGGGTCTTGTGTTGACTCGTTCTACACATATGAGAAAAATAAATAAAATATAGTCTTCACAAGTGTTATAAATATAAGTGATAATAGTCAAGATCCTGGGATATGTTTAAGGATCTTGAGTCTTCAGAAGTATTCGAGGATCTTGAATATGATTCTGAGGATCCTGCCCCAAACAATTATTATTATTAATATTATTATTATTATTATTATTATTATTATTAATATTATTATACCAAGTTTCATCCAAAAATCATATTGATCCTTCATGATAAAGTAGACATGTTAGCAGTTGATCTTGATTGTGGAAACCTACATGGATCTGACTCATGTCCTTAAAGTTTTTCACAATAAAGTAATGATGAGTTTTGATACAAAATATAAGTTTGTTTTTCACAAAAATCGCAACGTAAGACTTTAAAAAATAACATGTTTATTTTTAGTTCATAACAAAATGAAACCATCAAGGATCCATTTATAGAGGTAAAAATGAAATTAAAACAACCAAAGAGTTTTTAGGATGATAAACTTTGAAGCCTTTGAACCCACTTGGTTTTGGGGTGTTGATGAAGATTGAAAAAATCAAAGATTATGATTTCTCTATATGTATCCACCATCAAGAGTAAAGTACATGGATTGCTAGTTCCTTCTTGTATTCTTGAGTGTCTTAAGTCATTAAGTGCTTAACTCAAATAAGCACTAAAGGAGACAACTCAAGAAGGCTTCTAATCTTGCAACAATCTTCAAAAGACAACAAGAAGAGGAAGAGTAATGTGGTTTCGGCCATGAGAAGAAATAGATAGATTCACTGGCAAAACTAGCTCCAAACTCATGCAATACACCTCTTTAAGTACCCATGCGAAAGCAAAAGCAACCCCATATTATAATCTTAAGTAATAACCTTACTTTAGAGGCACGAGGGACAAGGGAGGGAGGTTGACAAATAACCTCCCACACCATCATCATACTTTCAGCCATACCTCTTGAAATACGATGGATTCTTTAATTTTTATAAACTCTAAGTTTATGAAATATAAACTGTGTTTAGGAAAAGGACAAAAGAATCCAACTAATCCAAAAGGTTGTGCATGACTTATTAATTCATACCATATGAAATAATAACTAGTTATACTCTCTTTCCTAAAACCATAATTATTCCCTAATTAAAATACAAGAATTGATATTATTTATTAATAATCATATTAATAATAAATATACAAAATGTGCCAACTTGATAAACGTGTGACCCTATATGATCATATATTTATAGCAATATCACTCCATGATGATTCTTGGGCATATAGATTCAACAATCTCCCACTTGCACAAGATTCATTACAGAGTCACATAGACAGTAGCTGACGTCTAGCAATAGGCTACTGCCCCTAACAACATATGAAGGGTTTCATCTCATCAACAACCAATTCTAGGAACTCTAAGCTACAATTGTTACTAAAGGTGTGGAATCAACTATTCCTTTGTCTTAGACATCATGTCGAACATGAGATATGAATCGCCATCAATCTCATTTAGTGTTCAACTTTTAGCAAGGCCTTAGCTGTCTACCTCTCAATAAATAATAGGGACAAATCCAATCTTGACTACATACGTCCATCAATGTAGTTCATGTCATACCCAACAATGGCCCATATGATTGTCTTTTATGGAACAAAGTTCAACCATGTCAAAGCACAACAATTCCTACACTTCAAGTCCCAAATATGTACCTCAAGTCTAAGAATATAGAGATACAACCTTGATCAAAACATCAATCTTGACTATGATCCATAAAGAGATTTTGATGCGGGTCAAGTCCAATACTTATTCTCCTAATCAAGTACATATGAAGTTGGTAGCAGTTATTGCTATTTTCATCTCCATGAAAATCAACCAATCCACTCATATTAGTCTTACCTCATAGATGCTCCCACAATTATGAACGACTATGGGCATTTAGAATAACCTAGTTATTCAAGGATTAAACATGATAATATAGGACACACCAATTATACAATGAAAGACTCATATCCAACAAATAAGTCTTGAACCTAACAAAGAAGTATCTCCAATTGAAAGCACCAAAATCACCACCACAAATTCTTAGATTTCCCCCACCACATCAATAAAGGAAATGTACTCAAGAACTAACTTCAATGTAGTGTGGGGGCTGTCAATTAGGGTTTAATACCATATTTAGGATTAGGGATTACTTAAATACATCATAACTTTCATTATTGGCCCTCAAAGTATCACAAAATGACTCTTAGACCCATATACATGATCAAGGTTCATTTTATTACACTTTGGCCCTCCAAAGATAAATTTAAATAAATGAAAATTTTAGTTTAAGATAAGACTTAACGGAACACTAACACCGATGACAAATATAAATTCGTGTTGTTAAACAATCCTAATCCAGCATCTTGAGCATGTTCTAGACATTTGTAAGTCTTTTAGGCTCAATTTTGCGGTTGATCTTTCTAAACCTTGAGTTCTAGGTTTGTTTTGCTCTACTTTGATGAGTTTTAATGAAAGGTTAGAATAAATTTTGCACCTTTATTGTTTTTCAAGGTCCCTGAAGTGTTATTGGTTTTGGATCTGGTTCCTACTCTCCATTTGATGCAATGTTTGGAGTTAGGACCTCATTTCACCATTTTTTTTACCTAGAATGGTGTGAGCATTGGATGAGTTATGCATGTCATAAAGTTTAGATTTTTATAGACTATAAGAGTGTATTAAAGCCTTCTAGAAAGTTTGAGGCTTGGACTTAACAGATTAAGAGCTTGATGAAGAAGTTATTCTGCCAGACGAACCGCGATGCGGTCAAGGGTTGACTACGACACGGTGGGCGAGAGGTCCCACGATTCTTTTGTCGTGACTTGGCCATGACGCGGTTGACCGTTGAATTTTTACCAAGTTGACTTTTGGTTAAAGTTGGAGGTTTAAGGAAGTAGACTGAGGTGTGACCTCTATTCGTTATAGGTGATTCGTGTAGCAGATTCTGTATGTGGAAGAGTGTTGATTTCCACCTATTGATTCATGTGAGTCTTCTTACTATACTAAGTAGATCACAAGGTGTCATTTTATGTTTGTTTGTCTTTGTGACTTGCATGAAAGACTATGGTTGGATCATAGCAGGAAAGATGGTAGTTGGACTGTATTAACGAAAATGATTATAAGACTATGTTTGGATTATAAAATTCAAAAGGGTTGAGCCTACTTGATTGAAACAGAATTGTTGAGTTAGGCCCGTTATTGTATGGTATGTGGTATTTTGGGGAACTTACTATGATTTGTACTTACGGTTTAAGTGAAAATGTTACAAGTGCTTCTGGTAGCAAAGGGAAGGTCATAGCGTGATTGCATCACATCTATTTTTATGTTATTGAGATTTCTGCACTTGACTTTATATGAGTCTGATTTTATGGTGTAAACATTAATTAGTTATATTTTGAGAATGAATTGATATTGTTTCTTTTTTCTAAAAATGAAAAATTGGTCATGAAATTTGGAACGTTTCATTTAATTTAATTGGGAGATTCCTTAGTGGAAGAACCCGAACACATAGATGGGAGTATGGTTGTAGGTATATTCTATGTCTTGATTTTTCTCTTATTCCACTTTGCGTCCCGTATTCCATTGCTATCAACTTTTAAATATTCTCTATATGCTCCATGCAAAACTACAAACACAAAAGTTTGTCATAATTTATATATATATATATATATATATATATATATATATATATATATATATATATATATATATATATATATATATATATATATATATATATATATGCATGCAAATGGCATTTGGCCTAGCAATATCAAGGTGTGTTGTAAATATGACCCAACCAAGAGGTTGAAGGTTCAAGTCTCATTGTCGATAAAACTATAGATTTAGGAATAGGATTAGAGAGTATGTGTGTGTTCTAAAAAAAAAAATATAGATGCATGGTATTATGGTAAATGAGTTATTTACATTGCCATAGAAATATTGACCTAGAGCGACAACTTATGTGGTCTAAATTGGTGACGTCAGTTCCCATGGAGAACACATATGACTAAAAAACTTTCAGTTGGAAATATAATTACTCACAATGCTTTCAAACATTTTGATACAGAGCATCCCAATGGGGAGCTTTTCTTAATAAGTTTTTTCAATAGGTTTATACAATATCTATTTATTAAGTAAATAAATAATATAGTTTAAAAAATATGAAAAAAAAAACCTATCCATTGATCTTATAAATTTACAAGTAATTTGAAATAAAAAAAAGATCTTATAATAGTTTTTTGGCTTTCAGTAGCTAATTTGACTGCCTTGGAAAAAAACTACTACTGTGAATGCTCTTATATATAATAACATCGACACATGACTATATAAGGATATCAAATGTGTGTATAAATCTCATGAATTCAGTTCTTTGAATACACTGTGTTTTCTTATCATGCATCCTTTTATATATGATTGGCACATTGTACCAATCTCATGATGGTTAGGTTGTTCTGTGGATGAATGGTAATCCTGTTAGTTGATTTGGAATAGTTCTAATTACCATCTCCTCAAGTTTGTATCACAAGTGCATGTATTTACTTGAGTAATAATTTGTCATTACTAGTTTAAAAGCTTTATATGAGCATTTTGTTTTCAGATCTTTGTTTGAGAGCATCCAGATTAATTCCTTTGGGTTTTAAATAAAATGCAACAAGTTTAAAAACATCTGTCCAGTACATAACAGAATTCTTATCCCAAAATTCAGCACATCCAAGTATAGGGGCAGTTTTTTTTTAACCCCGTTAAGTCCTGTAACGGTAAAGTGGCTAAACAGATAATGATCCAAAGTCCAGTATATATAAGTTCGGTTTCTTTTCTAGACTAAATAAAAATATATGACCAGTCTACCTTGCATTACAAAAAAGCAAATAAAGTCAAAAGAAAACAAGCATATATAGTTGCCTAGATTAAACCCTAAACACATCAAGTCTATTAAGTAAAAAAGAAACAGCCACCAAGTCTTGTATTTTATTAGTTAGAAGATTGCAAGACGGGATATGAACTCTAGGATCTCCTTCTTCCGCTCAATCTCATCAACAGATGCAACATTGCCAGTAGAGAGCCATTCCTCTGTATCATCGATTGCATGTTGCACATTCTTCAAGTCTTTTGGGGGTATATCATTTCTCTTAATCTTATTCTTTAAGTCGTATATGTAATCCTCCAAGGCATTGCATGCTTCAGCTTTCCTCTTGAACTCTTGGTCCTCAAGCTTGAACTTCTCAGCAACTTTCACCATTTTCTTAATCTGTCGCTTAGACAATCTTCCACTAAGATTGGTAACAGTAAGGCTTTTGGTCTTACCAGTGGATACTACCTTAGATGTAACTGTAAGGATACCATTATCATCTATTTCAAAACAATCCTCTAGTACTGCAACTCCTTTAGGAGCAGGTGGAATTCCTGAAATTTCAAATGATCCCAACAAAAAGTTATCAGTAGATCTAGTGCGTTCACCTTGGTACACCATGATCTCCGTAGAAGATTGGTTGTCTGCGGTAGTAACAAAATTCATGGTCTTCTTGGTAGGTATAGGAGTGTTCCTTGGGATCACAACATGCATTCTTTCCCCTATTATCTCTTTACCAAGTGACAAGGGAGTCACATCCAATAGCACCATCTCCTTTATCATCTTGGTAGTCTGACCACATAATTTGGCAGCCATAACTGCCGCCCCATAAGCTACGGCTTCATCAGGGTTGATGCTCTTGCATAGCTCCTTCCCATCAAAAAACTCATGTAACATACGTTGGATCTTTTGTATCCTAGTTGATCCACCAACAAGAATCACCTCATCTACACTTCCTTTGTTCATATTCGCATCAGCTAAACAGGCCTCCAGTTGCTTGATACACTTTGTAAAGAAACTCATATTAAGCTCCTCAAATTTGGCACGAGTAATCGTCATAGAAAAGTCAATACCATCCAGCAGCGCGTCTAGTTCAACTGAAGTTTGAGTATCATATGAAAGAATTCTCTTTGCTTTTTCACAGGCAACTTTTAACCTTCCTAATGCTCTTTCGTTTCCACTTAAATCCTTGTTCCATTTCTTCTTAAAATCCTCAATACAATAATTAACCATACGATTATCAAAATCCTCACCACCCAAATGAGTGTCACCAGCAACAGCTTTCACCTCAAACTTACCCACTCCATCAATGGTGAGAAGAGAGACATCAAAAGTGCCACCACCAAGATCAAAGATAAGTACATTCCTCTTTCCACCGAATCTATTTTCTACACCATAAGCAATTGCAGCTGCTGTTGGCTCATTGATCATGCGAAGGACATTTAGGCCAGCAATAGTAGCAGCATCCTTTGTTGCTTGACGCTGACAATCATTGAAATAAGCAGGGACAGTGATGACAGCATTTTTCACTGAGCTACCGATATACGCCTCTGCAATCTCTTTCATCTTGGCGAGAACCATTGATGAAATTTCCTCCATAGAAAATTGTTGTTCATGACCCTTGTGCGTAACAACAACTTTTGGCATGTCGCTAAGCCCTTCTATGACCCTAAATGGCATTAGCTTTATGTCTTCCTGCACCATGACTTCACTGAACCTCCTGCCGATCAACCTCTTTGCATCTAAAATTCCATAACTTAACCATATCAGCCATGCAATAAAAGCGTGTGAAAAAACATATAATTAGTATTAAATCATATAGAGAAAGTTGGAACCGACTGAATACAGTATTAGCAGCGTTCCTTGCAATTTGATTCTTGGCACCATCGCCAATGAGACGTTCAACATCTGTGAAGGCAACACATGATGGGGTCGTACGGTTTCCTTGGTCATTCGTTATGATCTCAATTCGATCATTTTTCCATACAGCAACACATGAGTAGGTCGTGCCCAAATCGATGCCAATTGCTGGTTCTCCGCCTTCCCAACCCTCCATAAATTAACTACTGTACAGGTTCAAACAGAAACAACCAACAAGACAGTGACTTTAAGATGAACGCTAACGAAAAAACGCAACGAGTTTATGTTGTCTGCACTCCTCACGATTTACTGAACATGTAGCATTTCGTGAAAGTTAATTTAATTACTCTGAATTTAGGAGATTAGAAAGAGAGGAATACATGTTAGTCTTTTGCTTTTGCTGAAAGTTGATGAGAGTGGGTGCCAGGTTGTAAACAAGTAGCACTCATTTATAAAAAAAAATATATATATATTTTTGGTAGACTAGAATAAAGTTACGTGGAATGAGTGTTAAAAGTGATTTACAAGATGAATATCACCATATGAAAATTGGATGTTAAAGATATACTTTTTGATTTTAAGGTAACTTCAGTGTTAAGATTTCATTGGAATTTTTTGTGTCTTTTAAAAAGAAAATATAAGGGAGATCTATGAAATTGGCGCTGAAAATATAACGTTAAGTTCTTCAAATTCATTTTTATTAAAGCTAGTATATTAAAGGAAGGATGAATGTTATATATTTCGAGAGTTGATCAATTGTCGATGAACAAGGTTGAAGCAACACCCGTTGATCAAAGATACATGGATACAAATATCCCGGACTGTATTTTTTACGTTTTTGGTTCCTAACTTTTTTATTTTACTCGGACAATCTATTGTATTTTTTCGTTGTGTCTTTAGTCCCTAACCGATTTCAAATGACTATTTTCCTTACTAATATTTTTTTCTGTTTTTTATTGTTTTCTAAATGTTTATAAATTATTAAAATAATAGGGTCCCACAAACCCATCTCGAAATCCACCCTGAACGTTGACCCAACTATTCCCTCACCCACCATCTTTGTCTTCTCGAACGACAATGAGACCTTGTTTTCCGGAATCCGTAAATAAATAAGATATCTTGTTTTTATGTATTTTTCTTGTCAAGAAACATAAACTCGCCATCCTCTCCTTTTATCTCATAATAAATATAAAAAAACAATAATTGCATAAATAAAAACCCTCAAATCAAATCTTGAGGCAGAGAATCAGTTTCCAAGAAAAACCTATTTAATTACCATTACAGTGAACAAAGCGGGGGAAGAAGAACAAAAGGGTGTGAAAGGGAGAAGGAAGAAGAAAATCGAAGAGGAAGAAATCGATTAACCAAAACTCATATGATGAAATCGATGAAAACTTCCCTCCCTCCTAATACTGGACATGGGTGATGTATGACTACCATTAGACCAAACGGTATGATGAGTTTTGATACAAAATATAAGTTTGTTTTTCACAAAAACCAAAACGGAAGACTTTAAAAATAACAAGTTTATTTTTAATTTATAACAAAACCAAACCATCAAGGATCCATTTATAAATGTTAGAATGAAATAAAAAAACACAACCAAAGACTATTTAGAATGATAAGATTTGAAGCTTTTGAACCCACTTGGTTTTGGGGTGTTGATGAAGATAACAAAAATCAAAGATTATGATTTCTCTATGTGCATCCACCATCAAGTGTAAGACACTTAGAATGTTAGTTCCTTCTTCTATTCTTGGGTGTTTTAAGTCTTAAGTGCTTAACTCAAATAAGCACTAAAGGAGGCAACTCAATAAGACTTCTAAACACCAAAATAAAGCATCAAACTTCAAAGAGATGAAGCTTCTCCGTACTTACGGTTTTAGAGAGAAAAAAAAAAGGAAGAAAAGAGACCACAAAACTAGTTCAAACCTCATGCAAGGCACTCCTTTAAATATTCCATGCAAAGTAAGGTCTACCCATTAAAATACTCTAAAGTAATGGCTAGTATAAGGAGCATTGAAGACAATGGATGGAAGTTCAAAAGCAACCTCCATTCCTCTTACACCATTTTTCGGCCATACATTTAAAGAAAAGAAAGATTCTTTAAATTTTATAAACTCTAAGTTTATAAAATATAAACTTTGTCTTTAGATAAAAGACAAAAGAATCCAACTAGTTCAAAAGGTTGTGCATGCAGAGGCGAGGCTACGTTATTGCAAGGGGTGTCCATGGACACCGATAATTTTAAAATTTTTTGTATAGGTTATATATTAGATTTGAGGATGACACATGTTGGAATCACAAAAAGGACACCCATTGCAACAAAAAAATAAACCAAAAAACAAACAGAAAAGTTCTAATGGTATACCGCTTTGTTAGGAGGCAGTTAACAAAAATAAAACCCATTTATAGAAATTATAATCAACATTAATCATTCAATCTTATAATATATAGAAAAATATGAAGAAGATAGCATATCACAGGAAAACAAAACGAAACAAATTATCGAAAACACAGAAGCCCTAAAAAACAAAGTTTATATTTTTTTTGTTCACCGGTGCCGCTGTCGTGTTCCACCGCTCTCCGCCCGTCCATCCCTATTCTTTTGTTGATGCGACCGTCGTGCTCAGCATCTCTCCTTCACCTCCGTGCTCAACATCATCTACAACTCTGCGCCCATCTCCACCACAATCTGTCCATAACCGATTTTCCAGTGATGCTCGAGTCTCCACTACCTCCCATCTCTTTTCTTTCAGAGGTTTTACCCTTTTGTCTCTCTCTATATGTCTATTATTCGTATGGTGTTTTCTCAATTTTGTATATGTATGAGAAGAATATTAAACCAATTCCCAGTAACCCATCAATTTACTATAGCTTATAAGTCAAATCCTATAAACTAGAAAGTTGTGTAGCATATTGTAGCTTTTTGTGGTGCAGCACACTCTAGTTTTTTTTTTCTAGTTTACCTACAGTGCTATCAACTAGAGAGCTTTGTATTATTATATTTTTTACTTTCAACTTTTTTCATTTATAAAATATTATGTGGTTAGGATATTATAATTTATTTAATTATACTCATATTTTATAATAAGAATCATAAAGTTTAAAATAGTTTTACATATAACATGTCAATGACATTCGAGCATTATCACTAAAAATAATTGGCAACTATTTTTCTACAGATTATTTTCATATACATATAAATTTTTCATGAGCAATTGTAAGAAATTTATTAGAATTAAATTCATTATTATACATACATTAGATGATAACCCCACCCGATAACCATAAAATTTTAACTTGTTTAAATTGGACACCCTTGAATTTGAATCCTAGATTCACCACTGTGTGCATTATTTATTAATTCATATCATATGAAATAATAACTAGTTATATTCTCTTATAATTATTATTTTCATAAAACAATAATTTTAATTCATACCATATGAAATAATAACTAGTTATATTCTCTTATAATTATTATTTTCATAAAACAATAATTACTCCCGAATTAAAATACAGTAATTGATATTATTTATTAACAATCACATTAATAATAAATATACAAACTGTGCCAACTTGATAAATGTGTGCACTTATAGGATCATATATTATTAGTAATGTCACTCCATAATGATTCTTGTACATATAGATTCAAGACGGTATACCCTCAATGTGACATCTCCATTTTCACGGCCAGAAAAGACCGATTTTCTTTATTCTTTGTTTAAAAATCAGAGTAACATTTTAAATAAAAGTGTTGCGGAATTTGTTCCTAAAATAAATTATGATAAAGATTTATCAAAGCATTTCCGTAGAAATGTATTTCATTAAAAACCTCGGGATGTCATGTTCGATACAGATCAAAAGCATAAACAGTATAATATAAGCCTTACTACATTTATTCATATCTACAGGCCTATATTCGTAATCTCTCATCCCAAACATCATATCTATGCTCGTACGCCACTACCTGTAATACAAGAAACTGAGTGGGTCAGGCTTGGGAGCCTGGTGAGCACATAGGGTTTTCAACCCATAATAAATAAGTTTCTTAATTTCCTCAACCAACAATAACCCGATTACCCGTTCCCGTTATCCTCACATTACGTCCCTAAAACACCTATCATAAGGGACCTAGCCTAAGGATCAACATCGGGATGGACACTACTGCCAAGGGGTTTCCTCAGCAATAAATGTCCTAAAGGCAACCATGAGGGGGATGGAGTACACCGGTGAACACATCGTTCACAAACACCTACAGGTTGCGAGCCTACTAGCGTTCCACTGGACTGTCTAGAAGAGTCCATGGTCATCATCCATACTCCGCTAGATGACAGAATCAACAACAACAACATCGAGGCCTCTCATCATTTCATCGTCTTATTACATCTACCCATGTTTTACCCCAACATTTTTGTAGATATAAAATACATATACAGTTTAAATTATTTAAAACATGTATAAAAATCTTTCATCAGCATAGGCAGCAAGTATTCAGATAATATGCACACATAGCACGTAATTAATATAAAATACTTCATATCTATGTGTAAGATGAAAGTAACTATGCACTCACTTGATAAGGTGATGATTCTGCCCTTGAACAGCGCTTTGTTATCAAAAACAATTATCCCTCGATAAAACAACGAGTTTTTCTTAAAACCGGGCTTCTTGCGGGTAGAGCTTCAGCTTGAATGGATAGAGAGAGTATAGAGAGTGAAAGAATGGGTTGAAGGTGTGAAGAATGAGTCAGCCCCGAGCCTCAATTTATAGTGCTATGGGTGCTCCACTACTTTCATTTAGACTCTGTCGGCTAATTCTCAACCGATCTTAAATTTAACAGTAGGAGGAGATTAGACTGCTAAATGACTGCGAAGAATTCGTAACTCCTTCATACGGACTCCGTTTTTGTCTGTCTTTTTACCGTTGAGTTCCTATTAATGAGATCTTCAACTCTTATTTAGGTCGCGTAAGCCAAAAACCGCTCGAACTAAAATTCGAGTTTCGGGTTGTACACTGCTAGGCCGAAACTTTGAAAAATCATAACTTCCTCATACGAAGTCAGATTTGGGCGTTCTTTTTATGGATTTTCTTGGTTTAACATATACTACAACTTTGGTTTAGTTCACTAAGGCTAAAAGTCACTCCATCGTAAATTCACTATTTACGCTTCCCGGTGCGTTGCCGGTTTTGCCGTAAAACTTCGGCGGGTCATAACTTCTTCGTTATAAATCGGATTTCGGCGTTCTTTATATCCCCGGAATCCTTGTTTCAGCCACTACAACTTTATGTAAAGATATCAGACTTATTTCACACTTTAATTTTGACGCTTATTTTTATTCTTTATTAATTATACATTTATAATTAAATAATAAGCACATAAATACACATAATTCACATAATACTCAAAT